AAACCCAAGAAAAACCTCAGCCAAAGTAACTCGAATCCCGGCAGAGATCCGACTTGAGCACCTCCACACAAAGATCCCAAACCGTTACAGCTATGCCAACCGGATCGATGAGTGTGATCTCCAAAGTTCCTTGATAGCAATGTTTTAATTACATCATATTCAGGGTTACAAGAAACGCCATATCACCAGCAAATCAACTGTTAAATATTTTCAATGTTCAACTTTAGATAAAATATTTTGCAGAGCATTTTATATTTTCCTTTAAAATACACAAGCCCTTACATTAATTCTTGTTAATAACATATGTATATAAAGGTTTTCACTAAGGTTCTGCAGGATCAAGCTGAATTTCAGCAAAACTTATAATTTACATTTAGTTTCACAAGAATTAAAACGTTCAGACTAGTATGATAATAATAGAATGTCCTACACTTTATATAATCAAACTCAGCGACATTTTAGTCAGGGTAGGTTTATATTATTTACCACCACCACCACCACCACCACCACCATGTGGGCCCTGCGGTCCGTGATGAACCTTAGCCTCTGTGTTACAGTATCTAAATTATAGAGAGAGTCGATAGGGCTCCTTGGGCGGGGGATCAGCCCATCGCAAAGCTTCTACCTACACAGAAAACACACACAGAATAAAAGCGGAACAACATCCATACCTCGAGTGAGAATCGAACGTACGATCCCAGTGTCCGAATTCATGCCTTAGACCACGATAACACTATGACGGTCTCAATATTCACAGCTTCAGATGTAACTTAAGAGTTTTTCTGCATTTTTAAATTTAGCGGTATAAAGAGAGACATTTCATAGCCTTACACATGGACATAACAACATCACAGCACTGCAAATGTTTAACTCCTCCGGTTCATGAACTAGAGACTCGAAACCAGAAAGTAACTGGGTCACTAACTTGTTATAAGTTAATAATTACCCGTGAAATTCTGTGCTATTTTAACAGCTATGGGTATATTATATACCAGTTTTCGATATTAAATGTACAACTTTTCTTGTCTCATAAAGAAGTTCAATCCGCCAATATTTACAATACTCGTATTACCGAGCTGAGCATTTGGCATTTGCAGTAGCAGGCATTCTCTAACGCCGTGGCATTTCACTTACGCCCACAGGTAACACACTCAGTTCGTACATTATTTCACTTTCTATAACATAATGTAAAATATGGAATATCGTCGGTGAGTTCAAAATTCATACAGCACCTGGAACCTGTTCTGCCGCATTCCACTAGGGCGCAGCACCATAACTAGTTTTGATAGTTATGCACAGCCTATGTGGTTCTGTTCTGATACGGAGGGGATAGATTTAAGTGTGTTAGAATATATTGCTACTCATAACTTACACGAAATATGCAAGCGTGCTTGTAACTATGTGTGGGAGGGATGGAGGAGGCGAAACAGGGATTAGTCCTACTGAACCTTGTGCGCCAGCAGTCACGCTGAACAGTTCAGAAACATGTACATTAACTGGACGATAAAGTACAGATCTTTCCAGTGACGGAAGGAATTCAGGAAGACTATTATATTCCAGTTACTAACATCTCCTTCGACAAAATATAGTAGTCCTTCATCCTGAGAAACTATTCACCATCTCCACCTACCTACCTACCTACCTACAACAATAAACTATTATCTACGTAAATAGCATTTATATACTAACCAAAACTACCGGTCGTAACGTCGTAACCGGTCCAACCATTAAGCAGCACAATTTTCAAATCCAGGATTTCTTAACCTGTTTCTTTTTCGAATTAAGTGGAGCGAAGATATTCTTTTTCAAGAATGCAGGAGTGGTTCGATACACTTTCAAATCCTAACAATAACAAATATACGTGTTGCTCTCAAAGTATGCAATCGTTGATGTATAAATTACCTGCTTATTTTACATATTAACACCTTAGAATCCAGTAGTTCCCACAAGTACCACCTACTTTTAACGTCCTAAAACTCTGCATTCAGCCACAAAATGCATCTGTGTATTCTGCATTGTTCTCACAATAACACAATAAATTTGCTGAATTTTGTAGCGGTGATGTAACGTGTTCCCTGTGAGTTACGAACTTAATTTGTATGTATTATTTAGGAGAAATTCCTTCTTTAATTTCTTAACTGAACGCTGCTGTTAAAAGTATGTAATCAAATGTATCTTTAAAATTTAAATATTTATTCCACAGAATAACTAACCGAGAGCAGGAAATATGTAGGATGAAAACGACATCATAGGTCATACATTTCGTCCTGATGGTAAATATAAATATATTGTGATATATCGATTCATTGCTAAGCAACGACTCAATATACACGTTCTAGCTAACCCGCAATAATAGGATCTGCGTTCTCTGTGGATCGTGCTACAACGCGTTGTTGGATAACACAACAATATTCAATAAGAAAGACGGTGTTTTCTAGAGTCCGACCCGAGGCTATATAACGAGATTCTGTTTTATAGGTAGGGAGATTTGATTAGACAATAGGACTTTAGGGTTCAGTAGCTGTAGTATAGAATAATAGTCGGAAGAGTAGTGGGTGGAATCTATTCGGAATTAGCAGCTGCTGAAAATGGAAATAAAGGAATTAGACCGTGTCAAGATGTCACGTGTTAGTTGAAGTGACAGTGAGGTGTTGATAAATCCGTTAGCAGGATATGACTAGTGAAGAATGAGAATCCTAATGCGTGTGTAACGGTGAACTGATAGTGTGTTGAAAAGTTATAGCGCCATAATTGACTATAGTCCTGTACTGTGTAAGTCTATAGTGTCAATAAATCCAATCATCCAATCCAAAACCCGTTATTATTGTTCACGGGACCCAGGACACGTGATAATATTTTAGTTTATCATGATCACAAGAAGAAATCTGTTGTTTTGTGACCTCTTGAAACTAAAACAGTGCAAAAGGCTTCATATTTACGTCTCGATTTCTTTTGTTCTTTGGGGAACCTCGCATCTGCGATCGAAAAATGGCCGTGAAATGGCCGTGAATTTGGTAACATGGTTTTAGAGGAGTTAAAATTTGCATGACCAGAGCTGCATATTCTTCACTTGAAACACAGACACTCAACATCTAGGCAGTGTCAAAAGAGCAGAACTGGAGACTGAAAAATATGCTATCAAATTGGATGCAGAAGGACATGTATGAATTGAGTGTAGATCTAAAACTTATATTTAGGAATAGATAGGTCTTCTTATGAAGAAATATTCGTATTTGGAACCGCAATAAAATTTGTCCTTTCAACGACTTCGTTGCCTAAAGATTTATTACGTATGATCACTGACTTGAAAATATGTGTATAAAGAACCCAATGAATGTAAATGTGCTTCCCTCTATGATATTCTACCAGTCTCTATACCCTACCGATATTGGTGCGTACCATCAGTCCCGACCGAGCCAGCGAGTTCGACCTCTACTGGCTTGGCGGTATCTATATGCTTCCCCCATCTATCAGAGGCGTTAGAGACTACTGTTTGGCGGGAAATGTCCTTGAATTTGGCTCAGTGACCTCCTTTGGAGGTATGAGGTTCTTTTACGTGCCGTAAAGCTACGACACGGGACCCACGGCTTAAAGTCCCTCCCGGAGGACTTGTTCCCTGAATTTTTCCGACCTTAAAAATTCCACGACCTCCGCCGGGTTTGAACCCGCGTACTACGAGTCATGAGGTGGGAACGTTACCTCTAGACTACGGAGGCCGCTTCTTCTGCACTAAACTGCATTACTAATTTAAGGGAATGCAGACGTTCTGAAATATGCTCAAAAAGCGAGCATCTTCTTCGTCACGCGTGTGGTAAAATAAACCTGAAGTGACCCTATGCTCTCTGCGTGCCGAACAGAACATAGGAAAAGAGAGCCGGGAAGCTACAGAAATTGTGCAATTACAAGCCAAAAGAAAAAAAAAACTAACTTCACACTTGGGAGCTACATTTAGCGCCCCCCGTTAGCATTTAGCACCTGAGCATTCAGCGGAAGAGATGATGCCCGATAGAAGTTTGTTGAAGTTTTGAAGAAGATAGATGATCGATTTTAAAAGTTAGGAAGAGGAAACTGGACAATTAAGCAGTTGCACGCACGGTCTCACTTTAGCGTATGTGCCGAAAAACTAGTAAGGGCTTAAGAAATTCCTTAGCGGCAAATCTGTCTCCTGTCGTTTCTCAGAGCACTGCTAACCGACAAAGCTTTCGAAAATGAACATGTAAACGTTAATCGAAATTCAGAAAAGCGTGTCTATGCCAAAATGTCTATTTTATGTACCTAAAAGTGGCAGTCTAATAATGCATGTTGCAAAATATGGCGAATTTTTATCTACGAAACATTTGAATGAGGTATCCATTAAAACAGTATTATATAAGCGGTGTAATACGGCTCCGACTGCTTATATGCAGTTACACCGACATTTTTTGTGATGAGCTGCCTCTACTGCTACCCTCTGGTGACAAAGAATTTGTCCGAACCTTGGCTACATTGTTTCAGTAGTTTTCCACATTGCAAACAAATGCAAGAGTTCTAGAGGACCTCCCTTCTCATTCATTCCAACTCATGATTCATAATACGTGTACATCAAACTGGTACCCTAAGTACATCAAGACGTAGTGGGATATGTCCCGTCTGGGGGCTCATCACAGTGCCCGAACGGTCTTAGGTATGAACTGCCTTCGCTCGCTCGAACGCTGGGATCGTGGGTTCGAAACCCACTCAGAGCATGATGTGTGCCTGCGTTTATTTTGTGTTTGCGTTCTTCTGTGTGTGTGTAGGTAGCGGCCTTGCCCAGTCCAAGGAGTCCTACATACTGTGTAAATGATCAAGAAATTGAAAAAAAATAGGCCAAGGTCCAACAAAGGGCTGAAGAGCCATAGACAGACAGACAGACAGACAGACAGATAGATACATAGATAGATATCCCGCCTGTGCTTCGGTCCGATCATTCGAAAGCTCGAATGCTGTGAGAGCATATTAACAAGAATTAATAGCAAATAAATACATGAGAAGGCGACGTCGGTATGTTGAGAGGCACGCGGCGAGCGCATGTGTTGAGGCGCCGGCGTAGTTTTCGTGCACGCTGCCGATATAGGATGACGGTCTGGCGAGAGCGGGGCAGTCGTGATGTGGCACGATCTCTGTTCCACATGGTCGCTGGAAAACAGGGTAACTGGATGGCGAACGCGGTGCGCTGTGTTCGGGGTGGTCTCCGATGGCTACTCCTTCTCACTGTCCTGACTATCTTTGTGATACACCCTGTTGCTACAGACATCACTGGTAAGTGTTTTGTAACATTTATCTCAATATCAATAATTTATGTTATTTCAAGCGTTACGACTTTGAAAAATTAAGACTTTGTTTCTAAAATATCTGTTTTCCTTTTAATTGTAGGTACTTAAAATTTCTCGTGATCGAAAATCGTACATATTCACATATTGATGAGTACCGATAAGTTTCAATTCATTATCCAACATGCCTATAAAACTATGAGTAAATGTGGTATTATCCCAGTGACTTGGTGACACAGCGTTAACGAGTGGTTGTGTGGATCTTCTCGAAATATCAGCTAGAGACAGCGTGCTGCTTGATTTCCAGCCTATAGTCCTACAGGTATATACAGCAATGACAAATCTTTAATAGGCCCTACATACAATTTTCATCTGTCCGTATATTCAAGACCGTTTTTATCTTGTGTGGGTTCCTTGTAATCTTACGGATATCAACAAATAAATATATGTAATTTTAGGGCAGTAAGTTGTTAAAGAAGAACTTGTTTTTATTTTTCCAAATCTTTGAAATATCAGAAGAGGGTTCATGTGTGTTGCTGTCTATGTAAAGTGATAATTTGAAATTGCCACTCAACACCTGACATTATACTTAATTTTGAAATATGATGTTAATAATTGTAAAAAATTATTCGCATTCGGTCCGTCAGGATGTATATCTCAGTACACAGGCCTGCTTCCTAAAATAACACATTAAAATCCCCAGTTAACAGAAGAAGAATTATCGATATGTCATACAGCCTAAAGCAGAATCTCAATCACGCTCCTAACTACATCTAGCGAGATATGCAGAAAGTGAGACGAAGACCGTTCCTCTGTATTTCTCTTGGGGGAATTCATGAAGAATCTCGGATCTTCTTTTCTACAGTTTAGAGCCTACAACTTCTTTATTAATCTTTGGTTAACATCACACATACTTGATGTTACTGTTTGTGTATTCACATGGGCCAGAAAGACATGTTTCCTGTTAGTTGTAATGTCGTTATTCAATATTTGTCTCAGTAAACCGAAGAGAATAAAAGAGTTATGAATAATATATACGTAGACAGGTAACGAGCACAGAACTTTTAATATAAAAAAATTCTAACACAAGACAATAATGATTCGGAGATACAGATAAGCTTGTTTACTTCATTAAAAACAGCTTACAAGGAACACTGGCCTACGATCATATATTGCATTACATGTGTGTGGTGGGTGCCTTCAAAGTTCGGAAATAAAATATGAGTCTCTGCTTTCTTGAAAAGGGATGACTTTTTACTAGCTTCAATTTGGTGTCCAGGTTTACAGGCGTTATTCTTAATTTGCAATTAATACCACTTCATTTGCCTATTTTAAAGATAATTATTAGGCATTTGTTACTATTTCATAATAAGAAAATACATTGTTAATTATAATTCAGTGGAATGAAAAACACCTTTCTCATCACTATGGGAAATGTTAACAACATAATTTTACACTTTGCTGAAGCAGGATACTTCGACTGATCGATAAAATAGTACTTCCTTTGCTGAACGTTAATTGTAGTTCTCTCGTTGGTTCAACATTATTGTAATCTAATATAAAATGCGTGTTCAACGGTAAATCCACAATATCGGTTTGGAGTTAAAAGTCAGTTCTAGAGAGTACATAAGCATGCAGTTTGCACCTGTTAACGAATATTATACAAGCCATGAATTTAGCGACTCGGAGGCAGCAAATCAGGAAAAGAGTCACATTGCGTTTCTGTTTACTTAAACATGTTCTGGGTAACTGGTTCAAATTGAGCAAGGTGGTTTCCTTCACAGTTCTGCTTACTTCATAACCACTTCAATGTCGCCACATTCGCATCGCAAGACAAAGTGTTCCGAATTATTTAGAGATAAATCTGACATCAGAAATAATTAACTATACCGAAGTGTCCGGTTGAATGGCTCTTAGAAAAAGCTAAGAAATAAATTTTAAAGTTTCGATGTTGTAATGCCATTAACGTCGGTCACGGTAGCCGATTGGTCTAAGGCATGTACTGTCTTCGCTAACTCGGAAGCCGGAATCGTGGGTTTCAATCACACTCAAGGCATGGATGTTTGGTGTGTGTATGCTTTTATTCTATGTTTGTATTGTCCTGTGTTTAGGTAGAAGCCTTGCGACCGGCTGATCACTTGTCCAAGGAGTCCTGCCGTCTTTAAAAATGATCATGAAACTGAGAAATCAGCCCTATGCTCCAAAGTGGGAGCAAGAGGAGAGAGAGAGAAACTATATTAACATTTCCTGTATCACGCAGCAACCGATGAGCTGTTGAATACCTCACAATGTTAATTCCATAGTTTTGGATGGTTTAGCACACCTTGTATAGGTCTACTTCATATTAAGTAACTTTAGTCATAGGCCGCGCCATAGCTCAAGCGGTTAGTCGTTGGCTTCCCACCGCGGCGGCCCGGGTTCGATCCCTGGTCGGTCAAGTGGGATTTGTGGTGGACAAAGTGGCGCTGGGGCAGGTTTTCTCCGAGTACTTCGGTTTCCCCTGCCAATCTTCATTCTACCAATTGCTCCACAATCACCCTGACCTAACATCTGGGGCTGGTACAATAGGCCAGAAGTGCCGCAGTACAAGAAACTTAGTCCGACCCCACTAGCAATAAAAAAATACTTTAGTCATATGTCTTCATTCATGATGTGGCTTTTTAAATGGTGCCGCGTAGTTTGGCATCCATCTACCAGACTAAATGATGCCTAACTCAGAATACTATAATGTTAGTCTATCTTCCTTCTGCTGGAGGCGCTTCAGCTGTCAAATATCGTCTGCTGCGACCCTGATGTATATGAAAACGAATCAGTTTTTCTTAATCATATTTTATAATTGTTCTTTCTTTTATTAAAACATTAATTGTATTCAGTATTAATATATGTATATTCACCTTTCTCTCGCTATCTAATGGCTTGTGCTATTGTATTTTCCGAATTTTTACTGCTGTCTAAATGACACAAAATATCTTGTTTTGTCTTTTGTCGTTTTCTGTATGTATGTGTTTTCTTCCATCTTTCCTAGTGTTTATGTTGTAATTGGTTTTTGATCTGTTGAGTAAACACGTAAATATATAAAAGATTTAGCTGAATTGAAGTATTTAGAACCGAACCTAGAGTTTGAGTTTGTAGCATTCCTGCATCATAGTCAGGAGATCACGGGTTCAACTCTTGGCCAGGAGACTGGCTATCATGACGGAGGAATTTCGTCGTCTCACTCAGTTTATCCAGAAAAATGACAGGATATAGCCTACGTTAAGCCAGGACTGCTGTCTTCAAGACACTTTTCAATTGATCATTCATCTACCATCTTACCATACGACGCTATATAGCTCATTTTCTATCAGCGTTTCAAAGTAACGCTCAAGAAATAAATAAATTAATACTCATAATTCTGAATGGCTTGTTTTTTAAAGCCAATAAATCTCAATGGTCTCTGCATGTTTCTTTCTTTTCTAAACTTCATTCCACGCTATGTATTACGATATTTGGAGGCGGATCGAATAATTACTAATGCTGTAACTAATTTTATTACCGTATTTTAAGATTTTATTCCATGAAATCTCAATAAATATTTTTGCTTGTAAATGACTTACAGGCTGTGCGATTTGTTAATAATCGTAACTAAAAACAATTTCAGAATGAAACGATGTATTTTAAATTAATGTGCTAGTCACAATTTCGTCGTAGGGTATCTTGTCCTTTTTAACAGAATAGAGAGGAGAATTGTCGAAAATTTCTCTTCAACATTCCTTGAGAGACATGACTCAGTAATGGCTTCCGTTGAAGTCTCCTGCGCAACATCCGTCCATATCCGGCGTTCTCGTGTAACATTTACCAAATTATTGCCATATTTCCATATATAAGTTTTGACATGCTTCTTTTGAGCAGAATTGGAATTACTGCTTTTCTAAACACATTTTACCGGCATTTTGTACACGTAATTATTTCATGTACGTCATAACTGTCACTGATTCGTGAATTTTTGCTCCACTGAAGTAGATGCACTACATTAAATATAAATTGAACGAAATTACTGAACGCAGTGCCGTCATTTATGAAGTTCTTATATTTCATTCACCACTCAGCGTTTCCACAGAATTACAATTTCTATACACTGCTTAAATTCTTATAAATTCTAGTGGTCAAATATTACTTGCGAGGACCTATGTGGTTATTACGAGGAAAAGTAGGACTCTTCAGTCAATACCTCAGTTCATAATCACAGAAACTGATGGGAATATTCCCACAAAACAAAAAGAGTACGTAATAAAATATTATGCCTGCATGTGCTGTAATTCGATTACGAGTAATAACTTCTGTTTCATGGAGTTAATTCGATTACATTAACTGACCGACTACAATATAAGTAAGTCCTCCGGGAAGGACTTTAAGCCGTGGGTCCCGTGTCGTAGCTTTATGGCACGTAAAAGAACCTCATATCCCCAAAGGAGATCACCGAGCCAAATTTCAGGACGTTTCCCGCCCAACAATAGTCTCTAACGCCTCTGATAGATGGGGGAAGCATTATAGATACCGCCAAGCCAGTAGAGGCCGAACTCGCTGGCTCGGTCGGGACTGATGGTACGCACCAATATCGGTAGGGTATAGAGACTGGTAGAATATCATAGAGGGAAGCACAATGGACCGATACTGGTCTAAGTGCATGGGGAAACCCACCCTCTCCAATAACTAATTAAACTATTACATGGCAATAGGTGTCAATATGCCGCCAATAGCACTGGCTACACAGTCTACGAGGCGTTGTATCTTCTATCGGTTGAACATTGGGATGGTCTGTTAGAATGCCAGTCTGGTTATGGATACACATTAAGTCTGAGTCTCTTCTATGCTCTGTTGTCCTCTGAAGGGAGAGGCTTGACTTACGTTGGGGCCTACTGACTGTCCGAGGAGTGCTACAGATCTGTAGATAAAAATCTGAAACACAGGAAACGGAAGGCTTTGGAGCACGTTGGTTTGTCGTGCCAT